CTGACGATCTATCCATTAAGCCAAACTGGTTTCAACTGGAGCTTCATTTTCTGCATGTGGATTCACAGTTGTGCCACCACCGTTCATTGAAAAGACCAATATGGTGTTTTACCATTGATTTAGATTTTTAATTTCTCTGAATGATGTTTTGTAGTTTTCAGAGTATAAGTTTCACACTTTTATTAAATTTGTTCTTAAATATTTTATTTTTTCATTGAGTCTTTTCTTAACTTTCAGATTGTTCTTTGGAAGTATATAGAAACACAATAGGCCCTAGCTGGTTTGGTTCAGTGGATAGAGCGTCGGCCTGTGGACTAAAGGGTCCCAAGTTCTATTCTGGTCAAGGGCACATGCTCAGGTTGTGGGCTTGATTTCCCAGTGGGGGGCATGCAGGAGGCAGCCAATCAATGATTCCCTCTCATTGATGTTTCTTTCTCTCCCTTCCTATCTGAAATCAATAAAAATATATTTAAAAAAAGAAATACAATTGATTTTTGTTTATTGTTCTTGTCCTTCAATTTTTCTGAATTTGATTATTAGTTGTAATATTTTTTAGTGGATTCCTTAGGATTTTCTATATACATGATAATGTCCAAAGAGAGATACAGTTGACTCTTGAACAATACTAGGGTTTGGAGCATTGACCTGCTCTGCGCAGTTGTAAATCTGTGTATAACTTTTGACTATCCAAAAATGTAACTAGTCAAGTCTCTCAAGATTCATAGGAGGATTGGTTATAGGACCCCCTGCAGCTACTAAAATCTGCTTATGTTCATGTCTCTCCCCATCTGGGATAGAAAATACTGTCTTTGAACTGCTGTTGGTTGAATTAATGGATGCAGAAATTCATGAATATGGAGGGATGACTGTATAGTTATTGAAAAAAATCTGCATATAAGTGGATCTATAAAGTTTAAACCCATATTGTCAACTATTACTGTACTTCTTCCTTTTCAATCTTGATGCGTTTTATTTCTTTCTGTTTCCTTCATGCTCTGGCTAGAATCTTCATTACAATCTTGAATAGAAGTGGCAAGAGTAGATAATCTTGTCTTTTCCCTGATCTTAGAGGGGAAAAGAAAACATTCATTTTTTTACCATGAAGTGTGAGATACCTATGGATATTTTGTAAATAATTGAGGAAATTCCTTTTATGTTTAGCGTTTTAAAAAATAGATTTTAAGCCCTGCCGTAGTGTCTCAGTGGTTAGAGCATTGGCCTGTGCACTGAAAGATTTTGAGTTCGATACTCGGTCAAGGGCACGTACCTGGGTTGTAGGGGTTGCTTCCTGCAACCTGTCAATGTATCTCCTTCACATTGATGTTTCTCTCTCTCCCTTCTCTCTCTCTCTCTCTCTCTCTCTCTCTCTCTCTCTCTCTCTCTCTCTGTCTCTCTCTCTCTCTCTCTCTCTCCTTCCTTCTCTCTTCTTCCCTCCCTTCCATTCTCTGAAAAGCAATGGAAAAAATATCCCTCTGGTGAGGATTGACGATCTTCTCCCCCCCCCCCCCAATTTTATATTTGAGTGGTTTATGTTGACAGAAAAATTAAGTGGAAAGTATAGAGATTCCCTATATATTCCTCTCTACAGGAGCACAGCCTCTTCAAGTGTGATCATCCTGTACCCCGGCCATATATTCATTATAATATTATAGATGAACCTACATTGACAAGTCATTATCACCCCAGACTCATAGTTTGTATTATATTTCCCTCTTGATATTTTACATTCTAAAGATTTTCACTTATATTTTGATGACATTTATCTTCCATTATAGTATCACTAGAGGCCCCATGCACAAAAAATCGTGAGCCTCCCTTCCCCTGGCTGCTGGCACTGGCTTCCCTCTAGCACCTGGGATCCTGATTTTCCTCCTCCAGCCACCAGCAGGCACCTAAGACCCAGGCTTCCCTCCTCTGGCCATTGGCTGCCCGCAGACACCCAGGAACTGGGCTTGCTTCCCTAGGACCCTGGCTTTATTAGGCAGGACGTCTGGAAGATGTCCGTCTAATTAGTTTATTACACTTTTATTATACTAGAAGCCAGGTACACAAATTTGTGCACTGGTGGGGTCCCTTGGCCTGGCCGGCGATAAGGGCCAATTAGGGCCATCTTGCCCAGTCCCATTCAGGGCGATCGGGGCCGGCCCAGGGGGCACAGGAGGGGGACCATGGGAGGTTGGCTGGCAGCAGGAGGTTGGCTGTGGGAGTGTACTGACCATCAGGGGGCAGCTTCTGTATTGAGTGTCTACCCCCTGGTGATCAGTGCATGTCATAGCAACTGGTAGACTGGTTATTTGGTCATTCATTAGGCTTTTATATACCGGTATATAAATAGTATCATACAAGTTAGTTTCACTGCATTATGCCTCTGTTGGTCTATCTAGCCTTTGTTTTCACACCCCGCCCCCCCAACCCCTAGCAAACACTGATATTTTCACCTGTTTTCATAGTTTTTCCTTTTCCAGAATGTCATATAGTTAGAATGATACACTATGTGGCCTTTTCAGATTATCTTCTTTCAGTTAATAATAATGCATTCAGTTTTTCTCCATCTCTTTTCATGGCTTTATAGCTCATTTCTTTTTAATGCTAAATAATAATTTTACTGTCTGGATGTACCTTAGTTAATCTATTCACATTCTAAAGAATATCATGGTTGCTTTCACCTTTTGGACGTCCTGGACAAAGCCATGGTGGTGGGGCCGAAGCAGAGGCAGTTAGGGGTGACCAGTTCGGCAGGGGTAGGCAGTTAGGGGTGATCAGGTTGGCAGGCAGAGTGGTTAGGGGCGATCAGGGAAGCAGACTGGTGAGTGGTTAGGAATCTGCAGTCCCAGATTGTGAGAGGAATGTCCGACTGCTGGTTTAGATCGCCCCTGCTGGCAGTTGGACATCCCCCAAGGGGTCCCAGATTGGAGAAGGTGCAGGGCAGGCTGAGGGACAACCCCCTCTCAGTACATGAATTTCTTGTACCAAGCCACTAGTTGTATTATAATTATTTAGATATCAGTCTTTCCCATTAGACTGTTAGCATATTGAATACAAATACTTTTAATTTTGAATTAATTTTCCCCCTAGCATCCAGCAGTGTCTTTCAGAAGGGTCCTCAGTAAACATCCACTTACTCTGTAGCCATTTTTAATCTGCCACAATGTCTAATCTCGAGTCAGTTTCATTAGTTTGTGTGTGTTTAAGAATTCGTCCACTTTATTTAGGTTATCTAATTTTTTAGTGTATAAATGTTCAAGATATTTCAACATAATCCCCCTTTTAAAATATACATTCTTCTCAATTTCTGAGAGGAAGGGAGAAGGAAAGAGAGAGAAACATCAACGATGAGAGAAAAATCATCGTCTGCCTCTTGCATGGCCCCCACTGGGGATTCAGCCACAACGGGCATATACCTTGAACAGGAATTGAACCAGTGACTCCTTGGTTCCTGGGTTGATGCTCAACTGCTTAACCACATATGGCTGGGCAATCTCCCCTTTTAAAATATAGTGACTTCCTGTCTTTAATTTCTGATTCTAGTATTTGAGTTTTGTGCCGCGCCAGCAAGCCAAGGGTTCGGTGTGTCTGAGGGAGGGCTGGTGAAGGATGAAGAAAAGACAAAGAGAATAAGCTGGGTCTAGGTGAATCTTCTGTGCCTGGCTGAGGCCACAGAACAGATCCAGAGTGCAAGCTGATGGTTTATTTTATAGTCAGTGGTAAACAAGGTAATTTACAATGTTCTTGTAAGTTTCACTTGCTGCACCTCCCACAGCCCATTAGCTACCCAGGAAAGATCTAGGGAGCAGTCACAAGATCAAGCTTAATTGGAACTTGTTTGCGGCTTTGCTAGCAGGTTAGTCCAAGGCTTAATCCTATAACGGCTCCCTACAAGTTTTATATTTTTTTCTTGACTAATCTAGTTTACACTTTGTCAATTTTGTTCATCTCTTCAAAGCATTACAGTGTGGGTCTCCTTATAGCTTCTATGGATTAAACCAAACATGGATTGAAACATTTTTGGCAAAAAATTATGTTTTCGGTGATGTGTACTATGTAGTTGGCCTGTGATGGTTGTGTCTGTACTGAATATGTATATATAATTTTTTCTTGTCATTACTCTATAAACAATACAGTATAACAGATATTTATGTAGCTGTCATATTATTTGAGGCATTGGAAATAATCCAATTTAAAGTATATGACAGGATGTGTGTAGGTTAAATGCAAGTACTGCGGCATTTTATTTAAGAGACTTCAGCCCTCTAGGATTTTGATATCCACAGAGGGACAGATACTGAGGGACCACATCAAGTATCACCGATTTTTCTCTATCGGTTTCCTATGCCCAGTTTCATTAATTTCCTCTCTAATCTTTATTTCCTTCTCTGTGTTTTCTTTAAGTTAGTTTGCTGTTATTTTACAGTATCTTTTTTCCCCTAATTTATTTATTTATGTATTTATTTATTTATTTAATTTATTTTTGTGTGTTAATCCATACCTGAGGATATTTTTACATTGATATTTTTAAGGGAGAGTGGGAGAGGGAAAGACAGAGAGAAACATTAATGTGAGAGAAACACATCGATTGGTTGCCTCCTGCATGAGTTCCGACCAGGGCCTGGGCCAGTGAGGTGCCTCCAACTAAGGTCCTTAACCGGAATTATACCTGGGATCCTTTGGTTCACAGGTTGATGTTCTAGCCCCTGAGCAAAACTGGCTAGGGCAGAGACATGCAATTTATTAGTAGTATGATTTTATTTTTAGTAGGAGATGAAGCTTAAAATTTCTTTTAAGAGATTAAACCTTAGACAATTATAATAGGGAATGGTTTGCTACCAGACTACTCTTTTTTGAAATTTAAGAGTAATTTTAGACAACTCTTATAGGAATAAATTAATGAATACTCTCATGCTTCATAGATTAAGAAATGTGTCATAGAGTTGTAGGTTTTGCTGTTCTGTTTGATAATGGATTGAAGAGATAAATAATGTTTTTATTTCTTCTCTTTTAAGATAAAATCATTGGTACTGGAAATAACTCTGATATGATGGAAAACAGCAAGGAAGAGGTAAGAATAATTTGAAACATTTAAAATAATTGCTAATAACAACTATAATGTCTTAGATTGTTTCTATTTATTTTTTAAATATATTTTTTATTGATTTTTTTTATAGAGAGGAAAAGAGAGGGATAGAGAATTAGAAACATCAGTGAGAGAGAAACAATGATCAGCTGCCTCTTGCACACCCCTACTGGAGGTGGGCCCATAACCAAGGTATATGCCCTTGATCGGAATTGAACCTGGGACCTTTCAGTACGCAGGCCGATGCTCTATCCTCTAAGCCAAACAGGTTTTGGCGATTGTTTCTATTTAATTCATGTGTGTGTTAAATTTACTGTTATACCCAAGTATTATTATGGTACTTCATTTTGGGTAGTTGTTCGTTTTTAGAAGATATTTATTGATTTTGATATTATTATGGTTCAGCAGTAGACCAAAAGTCAGACAACTGAAGGCTTGCTTACAAATAGATACTTAAACATTATTATATTGTAATAGTGGTGCTGAAGGTGATTGTTACAGGCAAAACTCCATGATTCTGTGACTTCTCAAAACTGGATAGTCAGGGTATCTTGAGCATTATCATAGGAACCTGTCCTGAAATCCTTCATATGATATCCAGGCCTACACTATGATTTTGGTATTCTTTTTACCTAATATAAAATATTTAATCCAGTAAAATATATTTATCATACTGGCAAAGTAAGAGTAAATTTAGTGTCTTTAAAAAAATATATTTTATTGATTTTTTACAGAGAAGAGGAGAGAGGGATAGAGAGCTAGAAATGTCGATGAGAGAGAATCATCGACCAGCTGCCTCTTGCATACCCCCTACCTGGGATGTGCCCGCAACCAATGTACATGCCCTTGACCGGAATCGAACTGGGGACTTCTCAGTCCGCAGACCGACGCTCTACCACTGAGCCAAACTAGTTTCGGCTAAATTTAGTGTCTTAAATCAAATTGTAGAAGGTATTTTGTTCCATAATTAGGGTAGAGAAAATGACACATTATATCCTTAAAACTCCCTAACTCTGTTGGGATCTGATTATTTCTAAATCTTTTTTTTTTTTTTGTCTTTGTTGACTTGGGCTAAGAACATGATACAGAAATGTATTCTCTCCTTCCCCCTAAAATTTTCTTTTTTTTTTTTTTTTTTTTTTTTTTTTTTAAATATATTTTATTGATTTTATACAGAGAGGAAGGGAGAGAGATAGAGTCAGAAACATTGAGTCATCAATCAGCTGCCTCTTGCACACCCCCTACTGGGGATGTGCCCGCAACCAAGGTACATGCCCTTGACCGGAATCGAACCCAGGACCCTTCAGTCCCCAAGCCGACGCTCTATCCATTGAGCCAAACCGGTCCCGGCCCCCCTAAAATTTTCTTAAATATATTTTTATTCATTTCAGAGAGGAAGGAAGAGAGAGAGAGAGAGAGACAGAGAGAGAGAGAGAGAGAGAGAGAGAGAGAGAAACTTCAGTGATGAATCATTGATTGGCTGCCTCCTGTATGGCTCCTTCTGGGGATGAAGCCTGTAATCCTGGCATATGTCCTGATTGGGAATCGAACCATGACCTCCTGGTCAATCCATTGAGCCATACCCCTCTGGGCTCACCTCCTAAAATTTAATATTAACAATTTAATAAAACTCAGAAAATTATTTTAAAGCCAGAAAAACTGGGAGTCAAATGGGAATGAGATTTTAAGTTTCTTTTAGGAAAATATTTTATATATGTATACATGTATATATTATTATATCACTATACCAGAGGTCTTGTCATAGGTTATTAATTTTAGGGGTATTTCTTTCAAAGTCTTAATCACCTCTGTATTTATTTTTCACATTTAGGGAGCTAGCTCTTCAGGAAAATCCAAATCATCAGGATCATCACGATCAAAGAGGTTGGTTGATGTTGTAGGGAAAAAAATTAATTTATTTTTCAGATTGTATTTTTTCTAAGAATAACTTTTTTCTAAAATTACTTGAAGTACTCTTGTTTTAAGTAAACTATTTTATACAAACATACATATTAAAATGGTCAGTATAGTATAATTAATCTTTTATTTATCACTTGGCTTCAATAATTATTCATTCTGACTTTGAATTCTTATTGAATTTTCTGGGGAGGATTTATTAGGAGCTAGTGGCCTTTACAATATGTATATCACTTCTTTTAGATCATATATGTGCTTTGAAAAAGGAGGAAAAGGGAAATGAAATACTGAATGTCTCATGAGGCAGGCAGTATGGTATTTTTAGGGTTATGTGAAATTGTCTAAGATTGGAAGTGGTAGCCATTATAGTTATGATGAATTTATAAGGAGATCAAAGAATGTTAAATAATACTCATCTGTGTAAAATTGCCAGTGAATTATACACAATGACTGAAACTACTTCCAAGCATACTATTATATAATGCTACTACACTATGTAGCATAATTCTCCTTTCAAAAAATATTTTTATTGATTTCAGAGAGGAAGGGAGAGGGAGATAAAGATAGAAACATTAGTGATGAGAGAGAATCATTGATTGGGAATTGAACTGTGACCTCTTGGTTCATAGGTCGATGCTCAACCACTGAGCAACACTGGTTGGGCTGTGTAGTATAATTCTTATTAGAGGTTTTCAATTTACTTTATTGGACTTTTGTTGTTTCTGATCAGAGAGACTGTCTTTTTAAAAACTGTCCTGCTCTGAAGCATTTGGGATCATTTAAAAATTTTATTTATATTTTGAGAGAGAGAGAGAGAGAGAGAGAGAGAGAGAGAGAGAGAGAGAGAGAGAAAGAGAGGAAGAGATAGAAAGAGAGGAAGAGATAGAAACATTGATTCATTGCTTCATTGATTGATTCTTGTGTGTACCCTTACTGGGTATTGAACCTGCAACCAGAGCCCAGGTATCTGGACGATGCTCTAACCAGCTGATCTACCTGGCCAGGATGGGAATATCTCTTAATAAACACAGCTTGATTGTTATTAACTTATTCTCTAAAGTAATGATTCTTAACCAGGAGTTTCCTTCACAATCCCTCAGCAGCTTATTTGAATGCACATGTCTTGGTCCTACCTACTGAGTTGTAATTTTCAGTAATATGGAATAGAGATGTTTGTTTCCCTAGGTGATTTTGATATTTTTCCTACATAAGAGCCACTGCTCAATCTAAACGTGTTATTTATAATCTTTGGGTGTTGTTCCAATTGTCAGAAGTGTCCATAATTCTATGAATGTAATTCTTTCATAGGAAACCTTCAATTGTAACAAAGTATGTAGAATCCGATGACGAAAAACCTTTGGATGAGACTGTAAATGAAGATGCTTCTAATGACAATTCAGAAAATGATATTACTATGCACAGCTTGCCAAAAGGTAATGTGTATTATTTTTTCATATGAATTTAAGTTGAAAAGTATTTTAATAAATCATTATTATAAAATTGGAACTTGATTTTTGTTAATTGTGTGTAAAGGACCAACCTGGCATTTTAATAGTGATGGAAATGATAGTGTGTTATTGAGGTTATTAATTTAGAATATTCAGTCAGCTTTGAAAAGAATATTTATTTTCTCTCTTGATTGGGTTCTAGAAAAGAGATTTTAGTTTTCATTATACATGATTGTGGAAGTTGGTTTAAAATTTTAATATATTAAGTTTTGGTTCAGTAAATTTTAATGTGCTTGCTTTGTAGAAAAACATAATGAATATTCTGAAAACTTTTAAACAAAAGCATTTAAAATTGAGTTTAGTTTTACTGTACTCTTAAATTTCCTAAGAGTCAAAGCTAATGATAACTATTAATGATAGATTTAGGTGTATTTTTTGTAATTATCCCTTTAAAAAGCCTTGTCATATATTTCTCAACTGTTACAGTTCTAACCTTTAAACATAGTTAATTAAATTGCGACAAAAAAGCCAAATAAATATCTTGAGTTTTTCATAGTCCAAATCTGAGAGCAGAATGATTTCCTCATGAGAGAATGACAAGGGTCTTGGTAATTTCATGGTGTTTCAGAGTTAAAAGTTTGGATTATTTTCTTTATTATATAGTTAATGGCTCTTAGCAGATTTTTCAAATTTATTTTGACAGCATTGTTTAGTAAATTTTGTTCTCTGTCTGTACTTATGTTTTTATGACACGTTTTTTGACTATAGAAATTTTAAAAAATGGTGGGTAGGAGGATAAGACATTGCTTGACTAAAACCAATTATAAGTTACAGTAGCTGAAGAATGAAGTGAGGAAAAATGAGTAAATGAGAGAAAGAAGAAAGATAGAAGGAAAATAGATGGGCCTACCATTTACATGATTTTTGCAAATAATCTGTGATAATATTATATAATGGTTTTGCTTGCCAAGGGCAGAAACTGCTAACATGGGAGTCTGAGTCCTATAGGCAGTGGTTCACTTTGGCTTGCTTCATTGTCAGTGGTTGTCACTGGGAGTCTTTATGATGGCTACTGAGTTAGCTAAGAACTAGGAATTCAAATATTTCTTTTAATGATGTTGTGGAAGAAAGTTGGTGTGGGATGTTACTAACTTGCTCTAAGCATAATACTCTCCCACTAAGCCAGAAATAAACTCATTCCATGAGGTTAAATTTGGGTGATTATAATTATTGTTATAATGAGTGTGTATAGATACCAGATTCTTAAAAATTAACTCATTTAATCCTCAAAACAGTGCTGTAAGGTAGATACTGTTTCTGCTTGCAGAGAAGAACGAACAAATTCAGAGTTCAAGGAACTTTTCAGCTTTCAATTGAGAAGCTAAAATTTGAACCCAGGTCTGCCTGAATCCAAAGCTGAATCCACTCTGCTGCTTTGCTTCCATTTAGAGGAGAAACTTCAGAAAGAATCCTAATATTTTTTGTTAGTTATAAATCTTTAGCTTTTTTCAAGTGCTGGGGCTTCTCTGAGAGTATATATGTGAAATGGTTGTGGTTGATTAAAATTTTTTTTGAGATTATGTAAATTTACCCATTTGTGAAAACTCAGTCCTTTGTGCCTCTTTCCCCGTTTCTCCGAAATGCGTTTAACTGATTGCTCTTCCTTGTAAAAATCTGCTTGCTGAATAACACTGACACATGGGTCAGGGGAACCTCTCCTGATTACCAGGTTTTACTTTCTTAATTGTTGCTATAATGCACAATTACTAAGCTCAGCAATGTAGATAAATGTGAGACCTGGACCCTTTTTCTATATCCCTGCTTTATTTTTTCTTAAGAGATTAAAATGAAAAATTAAATGAACAACCTCTGTCTTAAATTCACATGCTTTATAGCTAAGAAAGTACAGTCTTTCTAAAATACTTCCACAGGGACTAGCAATTGATGTTATCCTACAGTTTATTGTTAGAGCACTTGAGCTTAAGTATCTTAAAGAACCCTTTTGTATGAAACTCTTTAAGGACTTTGTAGAGAACTGAAACTTTGACATACAAGTTGGGAAAGGCTTCAGAATAGGTACAAAAATAATAGCAGAATTAACTTCTCATATTGCCCCCCATTATTCTCATCCAAAGCAATATAAAACATCTCTTAATAATCTTTTTCTCACTTTGTAAGTTATATAAATGTCTAATCTCTGTGTTGTACAACTAAAAATAATATAATATTTAATGTCAACTGTAATTGAGAAATAAAAAGAATCTCAAACTTTTTTTTTTTTTTAGTTTAGAATTTGGATTATGAGAAGAATAGGATGTCTTCTTAAAATTTCCCATCTGGTCATTTTATTTTATAAACTATGGAACTTAGCATGGATGTTCATATAGGCACTATAAAAATCAAAACTGGGCTGAGATTTTCTGCTTTATTTGCACATTTATGTTATAATTAGTTTATAATACCTCCCTCTCCCATTTTTAAAAACAATATTCCAAAAAGTAATCTGATTGTTGACATCTGGCCCTTTTACTATTTCTCTGTCTCCTTTTCTCTTAAGAGGTCCTTATACAAGTATTGAAAGCTTGAAAGAAACAAAACTATATGTACCAGCAATGTTGGCTTTATCTGAACTGAAGTCTTGTACTTCATGTGCACATTTAATATGTGTAATGGTTTTTTAAATGAAATCATTCTAGGTACAGTGATTGTACAACCAGAGCCAGTGCTGAATGAAGACAAAGATGATTTTAAAGGGCCTGAATTTAGAAGCAGAAGTAAAATGAAAACTGAAAATCTCAAAAAACGCGGAGGTAAATACAAGTGAAAATGAAAACATGAATTTAAATTGCTGTTTATGACCATTGGAAAATCTGATGTGCTTACTAAAAATACCTCCACTTTTCTGCCGATTGTTTATTAAAAAAGCACTACTTAAAAATAATTTCTCTGAGCTCTGAAGCAGAAAAGGTTATTACCATTTATCAAAAAACCTTTGCCTTCAGTGGCTATTAAGTTATCTCAAGAAGACTAGCATTTCCTTCTTGCACATTTTAGTTCTGTATTTTCTATATGTCAGAATACTATGTGTTCCCTCACCCCAAAATAATTTTAGATTCGGACAAAATCTTGTCTGTGGCATACATGTAACTTTATACATATTTAAAACATTGTTTCACAGAATGATGAACATTTGCATTAGTATTACCTGGGGTGCTTTTTAAAAATTCAAGTCCCTTGACTGCAATCCAAACAAATTAGAATTTCTGGGGATGATGTCAGAAATTTGCCCCAGTTTCTTCTTATGTACATTAAAGTTGGAGATGTATTGATCTAAGGATAGCAATGTAGGTTGAGTAGAAAAGATAAGGGAGCTAGAGTTAGTAACCTTCTCTACATTTCCCTGAACGTCATCTCTTCCTTTGTCTGTCTACTCTCACTTATACATATAATTATATTGGTTTATCATCTGTAGAAAGTTAGCATAAGTAGAATTCTTTTAGAAATTCATGACAATGGAGTATGTATCCCATTGTTTGTGATTTTTAAATAGTGTCTATATGTTTTTTTGGGGCATATTAACAGCCAGAATCCATGACTATAATAGGAATCAATCTCTAAGATAGAACATGACACTAAATTTCTAAGTAGAAGTATAATGGAAGTTTGTCTGCTTAATATTTATTCTGTTCATTGTGAAATTATAGCATGGTTCTTACATTGGTGCAATTTTTTGTAGATTTTTATTTTAGTGTTATATGATTATGTTGATAGGACTAGGAAAACATATCTATATTTATAAAATACATATGATCAGTTTTCAGGTTAAATAATTTATTATTTGTGAAAGGAAATCAAGGAAATGTTTAGGTTTTTTTGTCCACAATGGGGTGTTCTATCTCTTTCAAATATAAGGAAGATTTATTGAGAATCTAATTTATAGAAGGGTAATTAATATTGCATCAACAAAGATCACCAAAACTAAATAGTATTCTAAAAACAGGAGAAATGGCAAGTAGAAAATGATAGTAAAGACCAGTAGCAGACTTTATTTTTTTCTGATCTTAGATCTTCTGAGAGGACACATAATTAAGTGTACTACATTGTACTAAAGATAATACTTAAATGGTATCTTCTGGGAAGGAACTCTGGAGCAGCCAGTGTGTGAAAATGTAGATAAGTAGATTAAAATAGAACCAGAGTTTTTGGGGAGGGTGTTCCTAGTGCTACTTTGATGTGCTGCTTGTATTTGGTCTGAGCTGATAAGTTTCTGGAGCATTTTATTGAGTAAGAATGTTTACATTGTGCTTAAGGAAATACCTATGTTTATAGCCATATAGTAGCACTTAAATCTTTCATATTAGTTTTTGTCTTAATGATTTGGTATATCTTTAAGCTGTCAGAAATCACACAGGAAATATAACTATGTTCACTTATATATACTTGTATGAGTAAACTAGTGATCTGAGGTACTGAGTTGCTAGTTAATATTCAGACTTCCAAGGAAAGTTAGTTAAAAAATTGAAGACTAACTTAGGAAACTGTCAAGAATGTAAACTAAATGTAAAATATTCTTATATTCATTTGAAATAAAATTAAACACAAATATATAGCTATATTGACCATTTTAGGAGCCACTGTTGTACCATAGTCTCTTTTGACATCCTTTTCCTAGTTTAACTGTTTGAAAATATACTGTATACTTGATTTTCTATTTTTCTCAATAATTTTGTTTCCTCTTTAAAACTATTAAAATATACTGAGTTTAAAACAACAATGCCTCCTTTTTATGTACATACTATATTATAATAATTAAGATACTTTATATCTAAAATAAAAATTTAAAACACATATAGAAACAAATACATAAAGTAAAGGAACATTTCAGTATTTTATAATATTTGCTTAAATGAAATATTGGTTCAGTCTTAGTTTCATCAGTTTCCCATTCCTACCACCCTGAAGGTAATGATTATCTTGAAGTTTGTATGTGTGTGCGTGTGCATGTATAATTTCCAATGCATGTTTTTATATTTTTTTCTGTACATATATTCATAAAGCATTTATTTTTCTTTTAAACATATACAAAATAGTATGTTGTATATATCCTTTTGCAACACTTTCCATTCAACGTTGTTTTTGAAATGTATCCATGTCACTAAGTGTATATCTAGTTGTTTTATTTTTTACTGCTTTGTAGAATTCTGTTGTATGAGTAAACCACTGTCTATTTCCCAAATTTGAAGTTATTTCCATTTCCCCCCCCCAAATTTTTCTAATTTCCTAATTAATAATGCAGTGACTATCCTCTATATCAGTGTTTTCCAAACTTTTGACATATATGTACCCCTTCTATAATTTTCGTAACTCTGAGTACCCCTCATACTCATGAGAACATAAAATTAGGCGCAGCTAAGCATGGTGCAGTGCATATCCCCACCAAACTCTTTCCATACTCCTGGGGGTATGCGTACCACACTTTGGGAAACACTGCTGGATATAATTCCTTGTGCACATGTGGGTGAAATCCTTTAATGTATCACATAGTTTTATTTAATTCTTGAGTGATATATGTGCAAAAAGCACTTAGAAGATGCTTAATAAATATTATCTAACATTGGGTGAACATTCAAACCCTAGCGTTTATTCATCCTGTTAGTTTATGTGAATACAATGATTTTAAATGAAAAAGCACACTGTATATGTATTTATGTTAAAACATACAAAATATATGAATACTAAAGATCAAACACTAATGCAGGACAATATGATTTAAAATATAATATTAGCAGCTTATGTAGCAAGTCAAATTTTCTAGAAAGTATGATGGTACCCTTATATATTGGATAAACTTTTGTAACCTCTGCAAAATAGAAATATTTGTGATAATGTTTGGGCCCATAAGTGATTTGGACTTTAAAAGTAAGAAAACTAAATAAATTAATAGGTGAAAAATGTTATGTTGTTTTTATCTTTTATTTAGGGATAGACAGAGTTGGTATTTTTTTATTTTAGTTGTCTCGCTTTTATTTGTGAATGCAGGCATTTTCATTGGCTTTTTTTGAATCATACTCTACCTCCTTACTTTGTTGCACATCAGAATCATTGGTAAAACTTTAAAAAAATTTTTAGGAGATTTCCATTTAGTAGTTTAGGGGTGGGGGATGACTATCTGTTTTTAAAAAGATTCACCGGATGATTCTAATGTTCAGCTCATATTTTGAAGCACTGTTTTAAGCAGCACTAGGGATGAGAGTGAGGCAGTAGAGGTTTCCTCTTACGATTTGTTCCTTAGTTACCTTTAATCTGTTTTTCTGCAAATACCCAATGGGGCTGTCCCTTACTTCAACCATTGTGAGGTTTTGCTGCCAAGATAGGTGTGCCTACAAGTCTTATTTGGAAATAGTCAATGCAGTTATGGAGTAGACAGTGGAATAAACACAAAAATAAGGCAGCTTAATGGGAATTGTGGATAATATTGAAGTAAATCTTGGGAACAAATTGGTAATATAATATTATCAAGTTTTCATCTACTATTGAAAATAACTGTAGACAATTCCATTTTGAGAATAAAACCTGTATCGCATACCTAACTTTAGTATAGGGTTGAAAAAGAATCTGTCCTATATATATCACTTGTTTTTTCATTCTTCAAGATCTGAATTTATTTTAAAATAAATAGCAAATTGAAAAAGAGTTCTTTACCCCTATTTTTAGAACTTCTTTTATGGAGTCTTGTTATATCGAGTTGTTGTGAGAAATAGGGTTTGCATTTGTAAAGGAAACAAGTTAAAATTTATATATCTGAGATTTGCTAAGATTGTCATATTTTATTGCTAATAAAATTATTAACCTTTTTACTTGTGTCCAAATGTCATTTTCCTAAGGATTATGATATATTTAATTTCCAATACGAAAGTTGCAAAATTATGACCAATGTAAATATCTTTTTGTATGTGTGTATATGTGTTAATAACAGCCACTCATTTCTCCTAGAAGATGGGCTTCATGGGATTGTGACCTGCACAGCTTGTGGACAACAGGTCAATCATTTTCAAAAAGATTCCATTTATAGACATCCTTCCCTCCAAGTACTTATTTGTAAGGTATGTGATAATCTATTAATAATTCATTCCACAAATAATTGAATGCATACCATGTGTCAGACTTGGCACACAGCGTTAGAACGTTGGTTCACTGTGCTGAAGAAGAGGGCTAATATTGTAGTGGGGAAGACTGCCCAATAGTGCCATGATATGGGAGATATTGAGACACACAGGAAGCCTGTGTAATTTGGAGTTGGGTAGGGGGGCTTTATAATGAAGACAATATAAAATAGAATATGAAATATAAATAGGAATTAGCCTGGTGAAGTGGGATTGGTTCAGCTTATTCCAGGCAGAAGGAAAGTGGTGTTTAAAGGCTGGTAAGTAAGGGAGAGTGTAGTGTATTACAAAATCTGAAGAGTGTATTTATATGCACATGCATGTTTTATAATTTTTTTTTTATGGATAAACAGTTTTTTAAAATTTCCTTTAAATTAAAAAATGCACACTTTTATATAGTTGAGATCAGACTGAATGTGGAAGTTTATATTTCTTATAAAAATTTTCTTTTTTATTGAATTTATTGGGGTTATATTGCTTAATAAAATTATCTAGGTTTCAAGTATACAACTTTATAATATACTAGAGGCCTGGTGCATGAAATTTGTGCATGGGTAGGGTCCCTAGGCCTGGCCTGTGATCAGGGCCTATCAGGGCCTCCGGGTGCCAGCCGGGGCCTGCCTTCCTGCTACCCTTCGGGGTGTCCCTTCCCCGGCTGCCAACTGCAGGCTGCTGGCTGGGGCCTTTCTTTGTTCTGCGCCAACCCCTGGTTGTCAGTCCACGTCATAGTGAGCGATCAGTCTCCCAGTTGAACTCCCATGGGGATAATTTGCATAATATATATATATATATATATATATATATATATATATATACACATATACATATATAAAATCTGTAAATTGTATTGCGTGTTCACCACTCAAAGTGAAGTCTCCTGCCATCATTTATCTTTCCCCTTTTCTTTTTTCTTTCTTTCTTTCTTTTTTTTTTTTTTTTAATATATTTTATTGATTTTTTACAGAGAGGAGGAGAGAGGGATAGAGAGCTAGAAACGTCGATGAGAGAGAAACATCGACCAGCTACCTCTTGCACACCCCCCACTGGGGATGTGCCCGCAACCAAAGTACATGCCCTTGACCGAAATCGAACCCGGGACCTTTCAGTCCGCAGACTGACGCTCTACCGCTGAGCCAAACCGGTTTCGGCTATCTTTCCCCTTTTCTACTTGCCCCCCCCACCCTTTCCCTCTGGTGATCACCCTATAGTTGGTTGTCTATGTCTATGAAGTTTGTTTTTTGCTTAATCTCTTCACTTATTTCACATAGCCCTCCTTCTCTCCCCTACCTTCTGACAGCTGTCAGTCTGTTCTCTATATTTATAAGTCTGTTTCTATTTTGTTTGTTTATTTTGTTCATTAGATTCCACATATAAGTGAGATCAGATGGTATTTGTCTTTCTCTGACTGGCTTATTTCACTTAGCATAATACCCTCTAGGTCCATCCATGCTATTGCAAAAGGTAAGATTTCTTTCTGTTTTACAGCTGAGTGATATTCCATTATGTAAATGTACCACAGCTTTTCCCCCTGCTAATGGACACTTGAGCTGCTTCCAAATTTTGGCTATTGTAAATAATGCTGCAGTGAACATTCTTTCAAATCAGTGTTTTGGTTTCTTTAGATATATTTCCAGAAGTGGAATCGCTGGGTCTTAAGACAATTCCATTTATAATTTTTTAAGGAAACCATACTGTTTTCCACAGTGGCTGCACCAGTCTACATTCCTACCAACAGTGCACAAGGGTTCTCTTTTCTCCACACCCTCGCCAACACTTGTTGTTTATTGATTTATTGACGACTAGAGGCCCGATGCACGAAATTCATGCAAGAGTAGGTCTTCCTTCCTTCGGCTGTCGGTGCCAGCTTCCCTCTGGCACCCGGGACCCAGGCTTTCTGCCAACCACTGGCAGGCACCTGGGACTCGGGCTTCCCTCCAATCGCCGGCACCCAGGACCTGGGCTTCTTCTCTTGCAGAGGGAGCCCCCACCCACCTGCTGCAGCCCGCAGGTCTGTAGCCTGGGCCACCTTCTGCGGGTTGATCATGGCATGATGGCTGGGCACCCAACCCGCCTTGGCTGGCCTGGTGCCAGTGGGTGTCAGCATGGTCCAGGATGGTCGTTCTGCTATTCAGCCATTCGATCGATTTACTTATTAGGCTTTTATTATATAGGATAGCTATTCTGACAGGTGAGAGGTGATATTTCATTGTGGTTTTACTTTCTATTTCTCTAATGAATACTGACATTGCCCATATATATATATTTTTTTATAAATTATGATACATACTTTAATTTTACAAAGTATCATATAGCTTATTTACAAAGAATACTTACTATTAGGGGAAAATGGGTATAAGTAATATATATGTGTATCTGTGTGACCAGAAGAAAATGTACCAAATACTAACATCAGTTATTAAAGGAAAGTAGAATTATGTTTTCTTTTAATTTTGTTATGTCTTAAAATAAAACTTCTAGGATATTAGTTTTATCTAATTAAGTCGTTTAAGTTATTTTTAATACTAACTAGATATTTTATGATACTATAAAATAGTATTGTGTGACAATAATTTGGCTATGTAAAAAAATAAGCTCATATATTTTAGAGAGACATTGCCCATATTTTCATCTGTCTATTGGCAATCTTTATGTCCTCTTTAGAGAATTATTTATTTAGGTCTTTTGCCCATTTTTAAAATGGGATTATTTGTTTTGTCTTGTTGAGCTCTTTATAAATTTTGAATATTTACCCCTTATGAGATGTATCATTGGCAAATACGTACTTCCATTCAGTGGGTTGTCTTTTTTTTTTTTTTTTTTAAATTCTTTATTGTTGAAAGTATAATATATGTCTTCTTTTTCCCCATTGACTTCTCCAAGCCTGCCCCCACTCCCACTCCCCAGCACAGGTTTTCACCCCTCCCCTATTGTCTATGTCCATTGGTTATGCTTATATGCATGCATACAAGTTCTGTGGTAGATCTCTTACTCTCCCTTCCCTGTCCTTTGTCTTTCCTCTGAAGTTTGACGGTCTATTCGATGTTTATATGTCTCTGTATGTATTTTTGTTCATCAGTTTATGGTGTTCATTATATTCCACAAATGAGTGAGATCATGTGATACTTATCTTTCTCTGAATGGCTTATTTCACTTATCATAATGCTCTCCAGGTTCACCCATTCTATTGCAAATGGTAAGGCTTCTTTCTTTTTTACAGCAATGTAGTATTCCATTGTGTAATGTGCTACAGTTTTATAATCTGCTCATCTGCTGATGGGCACTTAGGCTATTTCCAAATCTTAGCTATTGTAAATTGTGCTCTATGAACATAGAGGTGCATTTATCCTTTCTGATTGGTGTTTCTGATTTCTTGAGATATATTTCTAGAAGTGGGATTACTGGGTCAAATGTGAGTTCCATTTTTAATTTTTTGAAGAAACTCCACTGTTTTCCACAATGGCTGCACTAGTTAGCAATCCCACTTGCAGTTTATGAGGTTTTCCCCCCCCTCTACATCCTCGCCAGCACTTGTCATTTGTTGATGATAGCCATTCTGGTGCATGGCTGATTTGTGACTTTGAGCTTTTTTTCATATGCCACTTGGCCTTCTGTATGTCCACTTTTGAGAAATGTCTATTTAGGACCTTTTCCCATTTTTTGATTGGATTGTTTATCTTCTATTGTTAAGTTGTATGAGTTCCCTATACATTTTGGAGATAAAACCATTATCAGATGTAACATTAGCAAATATCTTCTCCTATGTAGGGAAATCTTTTGTTCATGTCTTTTTTTTTTCTGTGTGGAAGCTTTTTATTTTTATGTAGTCCCAGTTGTTAATTTTCTCCTTAGTTTCCATTATTTTTAGTTTTTTGATGGTTTTCTGTGTTGTGCAAAACTTTTTAGTTTGATGTAGTCTGTGGGTGCTGGATCAGCCTGTTCCACGCCCCTGCACTTCCTACCAGTCTCAGTGTGCTTTCTTCTTTACTTCTTTAGTTGTAGGACTTTCATTCAGCCAGCTTTCTGGAGGTTCTGGATGATGGTTGTTGTGTATTTTAGTTGTAATTTTGATGTAGTTGTGGGAGGCAGCATGTACAGGCATTTGCCTATGCATCTTTTTTTAAAGATATATTTTTATTGATTTCTGAGAGTAAGTGAGAGGGATAGAGAGAGAAACATTCAGTGATGAGAATCATGATTGGCTGCCTCTTGCATGTCCCACACTTGGGATCAAGCCAGCAACCTGGAGACCAGGAATTCAACTGTGACCTCTTCAATCATAGGTCGATGTTCATCTACTGAGCCATGCCAGCCATGCACGACATCTTTTTTTATCCATTCTATTAATTCTACAAATAAATTTGCAAATCAGAATGGCAAACGGCAACTTTAATGAGATACCATCTCACATGTGTTAGAATGGCTATTATAAAAATGACTAATAGTAAGTTTTGGAGAAGCTATGGACAAAAAGGAAATCTCATTCACTGCTGGTGGGAATATAAACTGGTACAGTTACCGTAATATGGAAAACAGTATGGAGGTTCCTCAAAGTTAAGAATTTAGTTACCATATGACTCAGCAACTCTTCTGGGAATCTACAGGAAAAAATTTTACATTTTTTCACAAAGATTTATGGACCCCTATGTTCATTGCAGCTCTAGCATTATTCATGGTAACCAAGGTATGGAAACAACCAAAGTGTCTCTTAACTTTTAGTACATTGTTTTCTCTCTTTGTTCACACTGCATGACTGTTTTCCTATATAATGAAAGCCTAATATGCAAATTGAACAGTGGAACATCTGGCGGAACGATTGGTTGCTATGATGTGCACTGACCACCAGGGGGAGGTGCTCAATACAGGAGCTGCCCCTAGCCCGCAGGCCCCAGGCCACCCAAGGCAGCCCCCCTGATTGCCTCGCCAGTCTCCCTGCAGAGGGAGGCAACCCATAGTGGTGGCAGGGGCCACTGTTGGTGAGCAGGTGATGCCAGGCTGGCCGAGGTAGGTGCCAACAGGGTGCCCCTGATTGCCCTGCCAGTCACCCCACAGGTAGGCCCTGATCGCCAGCCAGGCTTAGGGACCCTACCTGTGCATGAATTTCGTGCACCGGTCCTGTAGTATTTATATAAATTATTTGCATCTTTTATCCAGAGTATTGCCAGAGTGGAGGAAGACTCAGGCACATATCTCTGTTGCAGTGTTTCATTGTTATTGTTGGTGCTTTAACAGGGCATTCTTGTTTAAACAAGTCAGCTAAGGGACAATGAAATCAGATCATCTATTGCACTACTATTCCAGTTAAGAGGAGGAAGCAAGGCACTTTTATGACAGGCATGCCCACTGAGGCCAACTTTACACATTATAAATTCCTTTAGCCATAATTGTGCTTTTCTTCGATTACCTGAGCTCCGGAGTAGGGCTCCACATACCATTTCAACCAACTTCCCCTGATTGCCAAATGTTAAGGAATAAAGGAACAAATACCACAAGCAACTGGGGCGGGGGTGTTATCACCCATTTTATAGTTAGAGAAACAGCAGCCTTTTCTCAGTGGTCTGTGCTGGTGCCTTTATGGAATAGACCAAACTGATCCAGCAGGAAGAAAGCCCCCTGCTTAGCCTTGATATCTAATAAATTTTAGGTAGATTTGAAGTGGCTAGTCAGAAATTTGCTTTAGTAAAATATTTTATAAACATTTATAGAAAGGATAGTATTCTTGATGACATAGGAATCTATTTGAAGAAATTATTTTCTTGTGATACTCCTATGTCTGGAAAGTACTAGTGTTGGGTAGTTTAGTGTTGTTTTTTCTTTGATTGTCTAAAATAAACATACACATATTCTCTTTACTTATTAATGGCTTAAAAATAAAGTTTTTTTTTTCCCTTTATGGATGTTCCATATTTTGAATAATTTTTTTCTCTTTTTTTTGTTAATAGAATTGCTTTAAATATTACATGAGTGATGATATTAGCCGTGACTCAGATGGAATGGATGAACAATGTAGGTAGGTAATATATCAAGATTAACTAAAATTTGGTGGTGTTTACTCTTTTGGAAGGGGGAATTCTTACATAATCTGTTATTAGATCCATTTTTTTGTATTATTTTTATTGATGTGTTTAAATGGACGATTGTTCTATTCTAGAAAGCCTTAGGTTTATGGCTGTTTTTAGTTTCTTTTTTTAAAAATATATTTTATTGATTTTATACAGAGAGGAATTGAGAGAGAGAGAGCTTTAGAAATGTCGATGAGAGAGAAACATCGACCAGCTGCCTCTTGCACACCCCTCACTGGGGATGTTCCTGCAACCAAGGTACGTGCCCTTGACCCGAATTGAACCCGGGACCTTTCAGTCCGCAGACCGACGCTCTATCCACTGAGCTAAACCGGTTTCGGCTGTTTTTAGTTTCTAATAAACAATTGCTTTACTACTAAAATTACTGTTAGGAAAATTTAAATGGTTTTATTTATTTTTATTTTTAAAATATATTTTTATTACTTTCAGATTGGGAGGGAGAGGGGGAGAGAGACAGAAACTTCAATGCTGAGAGATAATCATTGAACAGTTGCCTCCTGCATGCCCCCCATTGGGGATTAAGCCTGCAACGTGGGCGTGTGCCCTCACTGGGAATCGAATGGTGACCTCCTTTCTGGTTCACAGGTCGTCACTCAACCACTGAACCACACCAGCCAGGATTAAATTGTTTTAATAATGTAAAATGGGTTTCATTTGGGAGTAATGTTTTAATTTTTAAATAATTTCAGATGGTGTGCAGAAGGTGGAAACCTGATTTGTTGTGATTTTTGCCATAATGCCTTCTGTAAGAAATGCATTCTGCGTAACCTTGGCCGAAAAGAGCTGTCTACCATAATGGATGAAAACAACCAATGGTATTGCTACATTTGTCACCCGGAGCCTTTGTTGGACTTGGTTACTGCATGTAACAGCGTATTTGAAAATTTAGAACAGTTGTTGCAACAGAATAAGAAGAAGATAAAAGTTGACAATGAAAAGAATAATAAAGTATGTGACCATACATCCAGATTTTCTCCAAAGAAAAATAGTTCAAATTGTAATGGACAAGAAAAGAAATTAGGTGATTCATGTTCTGGTTCGGTAACCTATTCTTATTCAGCACTAATTGTGCCCAAAGAGATGATTAAGAAGGCAAAAAAATTGATTGAGACTACAGCCAATATGAACTCTAGTTATGTTAAGTTTTTGAAGCAGGCAACAGATAATTCAGAAATTGATTCTGCTACAAAGTTACGTCAGCTTAAGGCTTTTAAATCTGTGTTGGCTGATATCAGGAAAGCTCATCTTGCATTAGAAGAAGATTTGAATTCAGAGATTCAAGGTTTGGATGCTGTAAACAAAGAGAAAAATACCAAAGAGCATAAAGTTATAGATGCTAAGTGTGAAATAAAAGTACGAAAAGGAGAAAAATCCTGTGCTTTGGAAAGGAAGGATATGTCAAAATCAGAAGCCAAACTGATAAGAAAGCAAGTAGACAATGAGCACATGGATCAGAGTATTGCAGTAACGGAACAAAGAGCAAATAAAAGTACCAGTGGTGAACATGAGAAATCTGATGAAAAAGAAGAACCTCAGTATGAACCTGCTAACACTTCTGAAGACTTAGACATGGATATTGTATCTGTTCCTTCCTCAGTTCCAGAAGACATCTTTGAAAATCTTGAGACTGCTATGGAAGTTCAGAGTTCAGCTGATCAGCAGGGAGATGGCAACAGTGGCACTGAGCAAGAACTAGAGAGTTCTCCTGTAAAATTAAATATTACTTCAAAAGACAACAGAGGTGGTATGAAATCAAAAACTACAGCTAAAGTAACAAAAGAATTATATGTTAAACTTACCCCTGTTTCCCTTTCTAATTCCCCAGTTAAAGGTGCTGATTGTCAGGAGGTCCTACAAGATAAAGATGGCTATAAAAGTTCTGGTCTGAGCCCGAAGCCAGAGAACTGTGGACCCGAACAGGAAAAAAATGATGATGCACTTTTGCTTGAATGTGAAGTTTTATTACCTTCAGAAGAATCTGATCTTCGAAGATCCCCACGTGTAAAGACTACACCCTTGAGGCGACAGCCAGAAACGAACCCTGTGATTTCTAATTCAGATGAAGAAATTAATGAAACAGTTAAGAATAAGCAAAAACTGTCAGGTCCAATGAGAAAAAAATATAAGGAGAATTCTTCTGACAGTGTTGTAGATAATCCTAAAAGTAATAAATTGCCTAAATTTAGGCAGCCAGAGATTATGGATCAAAATTCAGATTCTGATGAAATGCTAGCAATCCTCAAAGAGGTTTCCAGAGTGAATCACAGTTCTTCTTCAGATACTGACATTAATGACATTCATATAAATCATGAGAAGACTTTGTATGATTTAAAGTCTCAAATAGGGAAAGATGATAAAGGAAAAAGGAAACGAAAAAATTCTACGTCTGGCTCAGATTTTGATATTAAAAAAGGAAAATCTGCTAAAAGGTCTCTAATTTCTAAAAAGAAACGAGAAAACCAGTCTGAATCTTCCAATTATGACTCAGAATTAGAAAAAGAGATAAAGAGCATGAGTAAAATTGGGGCTGCTAGAACATCCAAAAACAGAGTTCCAAATAAAAAAGATTATGATTCTTCAGAAGATGAGAAACACAGTAAAAAAGAAATGAATAATCAAGGGCAGCAAAGTTTGAAGGCTGCACAAGAGGGATCGTCTGATGATGCTGAAAGGAAACAAGAGAAAGAGATTTTATCTTCAGCAGAAGGCACAATTGATAATGATAAAACTATCTTGGAATCAGGAGGTAGGCTCTCTAAGAAGAAGAAGCCAGGTGTTTCCTCTGATAAGCCTTCTTCTGGGAAAGAGGAGAGTTGTAGTTCTCCAGAGGACAAAAAGGCTGCTGAAACTAAAGCAAAGTGTAAGCTTCTGAAAACTAAAACTTGTAAGAAAGTACAGGGTAGCTTATCTGATATTGCTCAGAAGTTGTCAAAAAAAGAGCAGAGCGATGACTCTTCTGAAGATGATAAAAAGGTGAGCAAAAAGGGGACTGAAGAAAAAGAAAAGAAAACTACAGACTTGAAGAAAAAAGTAATTAATATGGAACAACAGTATGAATCATCATCTGATGGCACTGAGATATTACCTGAGGGAGATGAAATTAGTCATTTTCCTGAAGGCATTAAACAAAATAAGAATGACACAACTGATGGGGAAAAGAAAAGTAAAAAAATAAAAGGTAAAACTTCTAAAAAGAAGGATGAAATATCTCTTAGTGCTGAGAAGTTAATAGGGAAAAGAGAGAGTTGTGGTTCTTCAGAAGAAAAAAGGAGTAGGAATGCAGGATTCAGAAGAGAAAAGAGAAGGTGCAATTTGTCTGAAAAGAGTTCAAGGAAGAGACAAGATTTTTCATCATCTGATACTGAGAAATATTCTATGAAAGAAGGACATGATTCTTCTGATAAAAAATTAAAAAGAATAGAATTGAGGGAAAGACGAAATTTAAATTCAAAGAGAAATCCCAAGGAAGTAGGAAGTGGCTCATCATCTTCAGATGCTGAAGAAAGTTCTGAAGATAATAAAAAATTGAAGAAGCAAAGAACTTCCACTAAAAAGAAGACAAGCAATGTCAAGGAGAAAATGAGAAACTCCCTTAGAACAAGCACTAAAAGGAAGCAAGCTGAAATTATTTCCTCATCTTCTGATATAGGAGATGATGCTCAGAATTCTCTAGGCGAGGGCAGCAGTGATGAGCAGAAAATTATGCCTGTGACCGAAAATTTAGTGCTGTCTTCTTCACATACTGGATTTTGTCAATCTTCAGGTATGCAAAGATAAATTTAAAAATGTATAATTTGTACTTATTCCTTCTTGAATAACTACGTTATTTAACTTTTCCTGAAGCCAATCAAATGCAAAGTGACTGTCAGGAAAATATAATTTAAAAATTCTTTACAGATTTACTAGAAAGCCTTTCCCCATTTATTTTTATGGCATCATTGGAAGGTATTTTATTTTATTTATTTATTTTTAAAATATATTTTTAAAAATTTTTTACAGAGAGGAAGGAAGAGGGATAGAGAGTTAGAAACATCGATGAGAGAGAAACATCGATCAGCTGCCTCCTGTACACCCCTACTGGGTATGTGCCCGCAACCAAGGTACATAGCCTTGACTGGAATTGAACCTGGGACCCTTGAATTTGTAGGCCAACGCTCTATCCACTGAGCCAAACCAGTCAGGGTTCATTGGAAGGTATTTTAAACATTATCAGGTATAAGAATTTTTTTTTGTAAATAACAATTTTTTTTAATCAGTGCTTAATGATTTTTCTCTGAAGTAATTAGTAGTAGTTTATTAAGGAAAATCAAACTGGCACCAGTAGTTCAGTAGGTATTTATTAATATGATTGGTAATTGTCTTACTGTGCATAGGACCTTTTTAATTAGCCAGAGTAACTTTGTGTCCCATGAAATTTTCTGAAAAAATTAAATTTACTTCATTGAAACTCTTTGTAGGTGCTCATCAGTTATTTTCTAATGACATGAACAGATGCTTCTGTCTTTAGTACTAATTAGCTAAAGGAAAAAAGAAATCCAAAAAGTAGATGGATTTCTCTACCCTAATGAGATAGTGCACTAGGACTATTAGGGTTTGGGTCAACAGTCAATGATACTTCACCTCCCCCCAATAATACTTATAAAAGTAATTTTTATTATTTTAGTTTTTTTGTTTTATTTTTCCCCCCATCACCATTTAAGTCCCCTATACTCTTTGGCACATCAGCCCCTCTCCCCTTTCAATCTTAAAAATTTTATAAAGTAGATTTTACTTAAAACTCTGTTCCTAATAGGCTCAATGTCATAAGTTTCCATTGATCCCATTTGGATTTTAGTGGAGTTAACTTGACTCTTCTGGTTTTATAATAAAACTTTAAATTCCTTTTATGGAGTGCTTATTTAATGAGTTGATTTGAAAACCAAGTGTGATATGTGTGGTATACTCAGTTTAATGCTCTGCTGTATTACATGCTTAGATGGAACTCTGCCTGTATGGCTATTGTAACTACAGGTCCACACTTTTTGAAATTATTTTGACCTAATGTGTTTCAGAATTTTCAATTGTTTGTGTTTCAAAAAGGTAATATAGAGTAATTGCCATATATAGGATATCCCAAAAATATATACACACTTTGATTGATTATAAATGCAGTGTTTATTAAAATATGTTTCATTTTCAAAATTGAAATATCAGCTGTTAAAAGTGTGTATACCTTTCTTAGGGACATGCTCTGTAATAGTTCCATTAGGGCCTGAGGCAACACATTATCAAACACATTAGTATTTCTGCAGCAAAGTATAAGAACACTAATACTTAGAAGAATAAACAGTTCAAATTAGGTTTTGCTGCCAAATGAACTTTGGCACTACCTTATATATAGTAGTTTTTAAGTTTTGAGAGCTTTTTGGATTTCAGAATTATATATGAGACTGTGGATTTGCATTCAAAACACAACTTCAGAATGAAGCATTATTTACAATAGCCAAGATTTGAAGCAGCCTAAGTGACCATCAGTAGAGAGTGGATAAAAAATTTGGTACATTTATAAAATGGTGTGCTCTCTGCTGTAAAAAAGAAGGAAATCCTACTCTTTGTGACAGCATGGATTGACTTAGAGAGTATGGCAAAGTGAAATAAGCCAGTCAGAGAAGACAAGTACCATATGATTTCACATATATTTGGAATCTAAAAATAAAATAGAAACAGATTCATAGGTACAGAAAACAAACTGAGAGCTGTTAGAAGGGGTTTAGGGGGTTGGGTTGGGTGAAAAGGTGAAGGAATTAAGCAAAACAAACAAACAAACAAAAACCTTGTAGACACAGGCAACAGAATGGTGATTATCAAAGGGAAAGGGAAATGGGGGTAAGTAGAAGAGAATAAAAGGGGGATACATGGTGATGGCAGGAGACTTCACTTTGTGTGGTGAGCATACAATACAATATACAGACTATGTATTGTAGAGTTGTACCCCTGAAACCTATATAATTTTATTAACTAATGTTACCTTAATAAATTCAATCAAAATTGGAAACAAAATACAATATCATAGTTACTTTGTCAAATCAATGTTTTTGTTATCAGTTTACTTAAGGAAACTTATTAATGATTAGAGTATAAGAATAAATTGTAGTTACATGGAGTCTTCTCATTAGCAAATTCTAGGCTATTGAACTAATCTTAAACTTTGGAAAACTGGTTTTCATGGTTAAACTGCTTTCTTAGTGAAATCAGCATGTTTGATTTCAAATATTGATTTTCATTTTCCCAAATATAATTAGATATGGCACATTTGAGGACATCTATGATACATCTTTCATGTTTGGAACTGTTAATACCTAGTGTAATATGTGTTCACCATATGGTGGCAACATATGGCAAATACTCAAGGGGGCATTGCCCAATAATTTCTTAACCCAGCCCTAGTCTAGATCATTGTGTTCTGTTTGGTCTTATGTAACTTTATTCTGAAGGACCAGTGTCCTGATGGGGAGGTAAATCCTTTTTCATATGTATATCCTGAGAAGCCTTAAGAACTCAGAACTTCAGCAGATGCCAGTCTCTCAATTATTTGGCATCATAAGCCTTGTTCAGATTTTGTTTACCCTGTTTATTTCTTGAAACCGATTACTGTAGATAAAAAAAAAAAAGAAGGTAAATTTGCTAGGGAGTTAACACATCTAAAAATTGGACTTTGTCAAAGAAATACAAAAAAGAATCTGAAGGGTATTTAATACCATCACTATGTAAAAAGTGCTGTTTTTCAAGATAAGCTTGGATATAAGCCAATGATAAAAGTGGTATTCTTTAAGAATTTGCTTGCATGTATACATAAGCAAGCTATATTTATTTGTTCCCCTACTATGTCCAAGTTAATTTAGGTGACAATTTTTTATTAGCTCTTAAAAAGCCTCATCTGCTCTCATTAATTTAGAGGATTCTAATTTATTCAGCAAAGTTGGTTATCTTATTACATGGTACAACATTTTGTTAGAAATTGGGGCTTGTAGAGGGGAGTAGAATTATTTCTTTGTAAACTGAACTATACCTTATACAATTTAATTTGCTGTAAATCAGTGTTACTGATTACTGTTTTCATTTATGAAGGGAAGAATCTGTATACAGATAAACCATATATTTCATATTGATAATATGAATAGCATGTATTATCTTCCATCATATCTGTACTGCCTTTTAGAAACTCAGATTCTTTTCATAGAAATAAAGATTCATTATAAAAAGAAAAAAAGAAATTGGGGCTTGGGAATGGTGTAAGCAACCAAGATTAAGAACATGGTGCTAGGAGATTGAAGTCTAATGAGCAAGATAGACATAGATAAATCATTAAAAAGTACCAGAAAAAAAGATATAAAAGTAAAACGGGGCTGGGTGATAAAAGCAAGTGAGCTGCTTAATCTAACTGTTAGAAATAAACAGATAGCATTTAAACATTAGTTGAAAGAATGGGTCAGATTTATAGTAAAGAAGAATTAAAGTAATATTATTAGTGATATTTCATTTGAAGACTAGAGGCTTGGTGCACGAAATTTGTGCATGGGAGTGGGGGTCCCTCGGCCTGGCCTGCACCCTCTCCAATCCAGGACTCTGGGGATGTCTGACTACCTCTTGCAATCCTGGACTGCTGGCTCCTAACCGCTCGCCTGCCTGCCTGCCTGCCTGCCTGCCTGCCTGCCTGCCTGCCTGATCGCCCCTAACCCCTCTGCCTGCCTGCCTGATTGCCTCTAACTGCTTCTCTACTGGTTTGATCACCTCCAACTGCTCTCCTGCTGTCCTGATTGCCCCTAACTGCCTCTGCCTTGCTGTGCACCTGGAACCCAAGATTCCCTCCTCCAGCTGGCCGCAGGTACTCAGGACCCAGGCCGGCATTGCCTGGGCCGGCCACAGCCCCATGGGACCATGGGAGGGAAGCTTTGCCCAGGCTGCAGCGGCAGGTACCCAGGACCGTGGGGCGGATGGCTTGTCCCTCTCCTAGGCCATAGGTGCAGGCACAGCCATTGGTGCCTTGAACCGCAGGACAGATGGCTTGTCCCTCTCCCAGGCTGCATCCTGGCTGGTCCCCATTCCTCACTTGTGCCTTGCTGGTCCCATTCCTTTTGCATGAGCTCATTTGTGCTTGGCTGGTCCCTGAGGGTGTGACAACCATTTGTATATTAGCTCTTTCTTATATAGGATTGATCTGCTTGAATGAGGTATTCTGAATTTGTTAGGATATTTTGAGATTTATTTTTGCTTTTCTGTATTTAATTTTTCCTTTCTGTATTTCTGTCCTGAACATGTAGCTGTCTGCATTTTTTATGGATTTTTTTCCTTTCCCAAAATTTTTTTCAAATATTTTATTATGAAAAAAATTTAATAAGAAAAGTTTCTTTTGTTACTATTGTACTGTATTTGCATATGTAAAGAGTACTGTTTTTTAAGATATATATTCTTCTATCCATCTATGTAACTAACTTTTGTTTGCCCTTTTAACTGTTTATTTTGAAATAATTATAAATTCACAGGAATTTGCTACCAAAAAAATGTACAGGCAGATTTTGGATATCCTACCATTCTCCTACTAGTAACATCTTGCATAACTGTAGTACAATGTCAAAACCAGGAAATGAAAGATTTATTCATATTTACCAGTTTTACATGCATTCTTTTGTCTATGTATGTATGTATGCATGCATGTATGTATAAATATAGTTCTATGAGATTGTATTATGTGTAGCTTTGTAAATCACAACCAAGATATTGAACTGTCCCGTTACCATAAGTTTTCCTTGTGCTACACCTTATGCATAGCTTCCTTCTTTATCCCCTCCCTGTTAACTCCTACCAACTTATTAACCTGATTTTTATGTTTGTTATTTTGAAGTATGTAACCTTTTGAGACTGGCTTTCTTTCACCCAGTGTAATGCTTAAAATTTTGGATGCATTTCAAAAGAAATAAACATCAGCATACATTGTCCTAATTACATCAGCATATATAGTATTAATGAGTGGTTACTATTTAAGTTTTTTTAAAAATATATTTTTATTTCAGAGAGGAATGGAGAGGGAGAGATAGAAACATTATTGATCTGCTGCCTCCTGCACGCCCCTTACTGGGCATTAAGCCCGCAACCCAGGCATGTGCCCTTGACCAGAATCAAACTCGGGACCTTTCAGTCCGTAGGCTGATGCTCTATCCACTGAGCAAAACCGGCTAGGGCTAAGTTTGTTTTTGAGGCCCAGTTTATATATAATGAAATGTCAAATGTTAATGTCTTTAGAGTTTTAATCTAAGGAAATAAGAGTAGCTTTTTATAAGGACGTAAGTTATACTGTACTTGAATGTATCGGTATAATTCTACTCAATATTATACAGATTCAAGTATATTTGAAATTATTTGGTACCACCAAAATATTGATAGCAGTTATGCTATTCTTTAGTAATACAGAAAAAAAATTATAAATTTGTTAGCTTTAAACTTAAAAATGGATCACTATGAAGCTTATTTAGTAAGAAACTTATGCTAATGTGATGGTAATGTTAAAAGATTTGCTTCCTGAAGAATGGGCAGTAAAACCCTTGTGATCTGGAAAGGAACTTTGAAATACGTAAGATCCAACTTATTTAAAAAAAAAAATAAATCTTTATTCATATTATTACAAATGTTCCTCATTTTTGCCCCCTCCATTGCTCCCCTCCACCAGGTTCCCATCCCACCCTCTACCCTTTCCCCATCCTCCATTGTGTTCATCCATAGGTGCACAGTTTATGTTCAGTCTCTTCCCGCACCCCCCACTCCCCTTTTCCCCAAGAATCATCAGTCCACTCCCCTTCCATACCTCTGATTCTATTATATTCACCAGTTAATATTGTTCATCATGTTTTTTACTTCCCTTGGTTTTTAGATTCACTTGTTGATAGTTTTGTATTTGTTGTTCATAATTTTTATCTTTATTTTCTTTCTCTCCCAAAAGAACCCCCTTCAGCAATTCATATAATTCTGATTTGGCGGTGATGAACTCCTTTAGCTTTTTTTTTTTATTAGTGAAGCTCTTTATCTGGCCTTTAATTTTGAGTGATAGCTTTGCTGGGTAGAGTATTTTTGACTGTAGGTTCTTGCTATTCATCACCTTGAATATTTCTTGCCATGCCCATCTGGCCTGCATGGTTTCTGTTGAGAAATCAGGTGACAATCGTATGGGTGCTCCTTTATAGGTAACTACCTGCTTTTCTCTTGCTGCTTTTAATATTCTCTCTTTGTCTTTTGCTCTTGGAATTTTAATTATGATATGTCTTGGTGTAGTCCTCTTTGGATTCCTTTTGTTTGGGGTTCTGTGCACTTCCTGGACTTGTAAGTCTATTTCTTTCACCAGGTGGGGGAAGTTTTCTGTCACTATTTCTTTCAATATGTTTTCGGTATCTTGCTCTCTCTCATCTTCTGGGATGCCCATAATTCTGATGTTGGTTCGCTTGAAGTTGTCCCAGAGGTTTCTTACATTATCTTCAACTTTCTGGATTCTCTTGTCTTCTTGCTTCTGCAGAGGAGTGTCCTGTGGCTTTTTGTGTTCCAAATCTTTGACTTGATTCTTGCAATCTTCCATTCTGTTTTTAGGACTCTGTATAATATTTAAAAAATATATATATTTTATTGATTTTTTTACAGAGAGGAATAGAGAGGGATAGAGAGTTAGAAACATCGATGAGAATCATCGATCAGCTGCCTCTTGTACACCCCCAACTGGGGATGTGCCCGCAACTAAGATACATGCCCTTGACTGGAATCGAACTCGGGACCTTTCTGTCCGCAGGCTGACGCTCTATCCACTGAGCCAAACCAGTTTCAGCTGTATTATATTTTTTATTTCAGAGAATGTATTCTTTATTTCTACTTGGTCCTTTATTATTTCTAGTTGCACCCTTTTCATATCCTCATAGGCCTCATTTATTTTATCAGCCTTTTCTAGGAGATTCTTGAAAAACCTTATAAGCATGGTTTTGAACTCTATATTCAGTCGCTTTTTGTTCTCCATTTCTTTCGTTTGTGATCTGTTTCCTTGGCTCGGCATTTTCGCTGCTTCCCTGAGTTGGTAGGGTGGGAGGATCGGCTGTATCTGCCAGGAGACAGCCTTATTCGACTAGACTTGGAAAACTGCAAGAGCCTCTGTGCTCAGCTTGGATGGGGCAGAGTTTCAGGATGGAGCCTACAGCCTTGGCTTCCGGTTAGCCCCACCCCATAAGATTCCTGAGTCTCAGTGTTCCTCAGTGTCCTTTGGTACTCGCTGCAAGCACCTCTGAGAGAAAGATGTCCTAGAGTTTTGCCTGCTACCAAACAGTCTAGTCTCTCCCCCAACGAGCCCACAATTGTGGTTCAGTGCAGTTGGAAATGGAGTTAAGAGCAGTCAGAAGCTTATGTCTCCTTCCTGCTAGGGCAATCAGCAGCTCAATCAACAGTGTTTCCTCTGTGGGAAATGTGCGTGAAGGCTCTGCCTTTTGCCGCTCCCCTGAGCTTCCGCCTTACAGCCCAGATATCCTCTGTATGAGCCTAGGGGTTGAGGATCTCACCCAGAACTGGGATTCAGTGCAGTCAGAACTGGGGCTCAGCACAGTCCAGAGCTTTTGTCTCCTTCCCGCTAGGGCAATCTAGCAGCTCAGTCAACAGTCTGTCTTCTGGGCAAAATGTGCGCGACTCAGGGGTTCTGCCTTTCGCCTTACAGCCCAGATTCCCTCTGTATGAGCCTGGGACCCCAGGGTCTTGCCCAGAACTGGAGTTCAGTGCAGTCAGAATTGGGGTTCAGCACAGTCTGGAGCTTTTTTTTTTTTTTTTAAATATATTTTTATTGATTTTTTTACAGAGAGGAAGGGAGAGAGATAGAGAGCTAGAAATGTCGATGAGAGAGAAAGACCGACCAGCTGCCTCTTGCACACCCCCCATTGGGGATGTGCCCGCAACCATTGTACATGCCCCTGACCAGAATCGAACATGGGTCCCCTCAGTCTGCAGACCGATGCTCTACCACTGAGCCAAACCGGTTTCGGCCAGTCCGGAGCTTTTATCTCCTTCCAGCCAGGCACTCAGCGGCCCCTCTTCTACGGCTCTGTCCTCTCCCTGTGCACGCACCTTGTCTCTGTACCTTAGGCTTTTACAGCTCCTCTGATTTTCCTTCTGATTTTCTCCTTCCTTCTAGTTGTAGAATTTCCAGTCAGTCAACTTTCCTGTAGTTCTGGATAATGTCCACTTTATATTTTAGTTGTATTTTTTGAAATTGTTGTGCAAGGCTGCAGTTAGGCGTTTACCTATGCCACCATCTTGGTTTCTCCATCTAGATCCAACTTATTTATCATTTTACTACTGGTGCTTTTTAAAGTATCCATGTGCTTTTTTTTTTTTTTTTAAATATATTTTATTGATTTCTTACAGAGAGGAAGAGAGGGACAGAGAGTTAGAAACATCGATGAGAGAATCATCGACCAGCTGCCTCTTGCACACCCCCACTGGGTATGTGCCCACAACCAAGATACATGCCCTTGACCGGAATCGAACCCGGGATCTTTCAGTCCACAGGCCGACGCTCTATCCACTGAGCCAAACCGGTTTCGGCTCCATGTGCTTTTCTTATAAATTCTTTCATGTCATGTTTTGGACCTCACAGTACAATTTAGAACCACCTAGTTGTTATTCAAGTTTTAGGTTGTTTTATTTTACATGATTTTACTTTTGTAGATACCTTAAAACTAATGTTAAGTATGCTTTTTTTCCTTCAAGGAGATGAAGACTTATCTAAATCAGTGCCTGTCACAGTGGATGATGATGATGATGACAATGATCCTGAGAATAGGTATGGTTCTATCTGTAAGGGCATTAAAAAGATTCTAACATACACTAGGAGTGGCACAAACAGCAACAACGGAATCTCAAGCTGGTTGTAAAAACTAGGAGTGCATTAGAAAGACTCTGCTCACAGTCTTTCTTCAAGTTTGAAAGAAAGGCTAGAAAATAGGCTAAAACTTAGAAACTTTAAGAGAAAGTAAATATAAATATTGATTGACACACCTAGCATAGGATATGTTATAAATACGTATAGTACTGTCAATTTTATATTTTTATGTAAACTGCTAATTTTTGGGAATATTTTAATTTTTATAGATTATTTTTATTGATGAAAGTGAATTATATCATATTGGTGACAACTCCTTAATATTTGATTTAAAAAAAATCCTCAAGTGAGGATGTATTTTCCGTTAATTTTAAAAAAGTGTAGAAGGGAGGGATGGAGGAAGAGAGGGAGAGAGAGAGAGAGTGTGAGAGAGAGAGAAACATCAATGTGAAAGAGACTTATTGATTGGTTGCCTTCTGCGCACGGAGCCTGCAACCCAGGTACCTGCCCTTGATCTGGAATCGAACTCTTGAGCCTTTGGTGCGCAGGCACCACTGAGCCACACTAGTCAGGGCTGACTATTGTTTTTATTTATTTATTTTTACTTATTTTTATTTAAAAAATATTTTTATTGATTTTTCACAGAGAGGAAGGGAAAGGGATAGATTGCCAGAAACATCGATGAGAGAGAATCATCAACCAGCTGCCTCCTGCACACCCCCAACCGGGGATGTGCCCACAACCAAAGTACATGCCCTTGACCGGAATCGAACCTGGGACCTGTCAGTCCGCAGACCGACGCTCTATCCACTGAGCCAAACCGATTTCGGCTGAGTATTGTTTTTAATTGCTATCCATTATGGTAGTCCTGTTTATTAAAATCTGTTAAAAAAAAAAAAAGGACATTACTCAGATATTTAAGATTAAGAAATTGCTTTCAAAATTAGTATTAATTTACAAAGTGTCCAGAATGATACAGATTTTAAATATTTTTCAAATGGAATAGAAATAGTATGATACTATTATTTTTAATAAGACTTAAACGATAAGTGTAAATGTGAACAGTATAGCCTATACAGATATTGTTAACTAAGGGATGGCTGGGAGAAGAGAAACATACAAAGGCACGCTCATGTTCCAGCAATGGAAAATAAAAAAAAAATTAAATAATATAACCATATGTTTTTCATGGCTTTTAAACCTTTCTCTGCTCTACAATATACCCCACATTCATAATCTTTAGCCAAGTGTGCTGAAGTGGATGGCATTTTGAAGTAATAGGAATAAGAGTATTTGACTTCTAATTTTTATAACAACTATCTCTGTAATCTTGGTGAAGTGACTTAACTACTCTTTGACAAGATTTTCTGATCTCTAAAATGAAAGTGTTAGATGAAGTTTTCTCTGATTAATTCTATGTCCCTAAAATCTACTAGACTTAATGGGTTTTATTAAAGAACACTACTATGTTAACCATTCATTTATTCCTAATAGTAAGCTCTAATGTTAAGAAAACATGAAAATATATATGTATTTTTTGTGTCATAATTTTCTAAGGATAGCTGTTATTCTAGCTTTGTTGTATATCTTGCTGATGATACGTTTTTCTGTTTCAAAGATCAGCATTCTTCTAATTAGCAGGAAAACATTTTTATTAGCATAAATGAACAATTTTATTTTGCACTTTGAATAGAGTTTAATCATGTATACAAAGACAGATGCTGCTTTGCTACTTATTATTTTTTTGTTAAAATGAAGGATATTTTCCCAATGATTTTTAGGGAGAGTAGAAGAGAGGAAAAGACAGAGAGAAGCATCGATGTGAGAGAAACATGTCAATTGGTTGCTTCCTGCACATGCCCTGTCCAGGCCCAGGCTGGGGAGGAGCCTGCATCCAATATATGTGCCCTTGATTGGAATCCAATCTGGGAACTTTTGGTCCGCAGGCAGACACTCTTATCCACTGAGCCAAACCAGCTAGGGCTATTTTTTCATTATATATCCAATTATTTTATGGGATAGGTGTGGGGTCCAGAATGGGATGGTAAGGACATATATTTTATTCATCAGAGATTTATTTTAAAAAAATATTTTACTAACTTTTTACAGAGAGGTAGCAAGAGAGATAGAGAGTTAGGAACATCAATGAGAGAGAATCATCGATCAGCTGCCTTCTACACGCCCCCTTATGGGGATATGCCCTTGACCAGGATCGAACCTGGGACCTTTTAGTCCGAAGGCCGATGCTCTATCCACTGAGCCAAACTGATTAGGGCTCATCAGGGATTTATGTTGTACATGATCACAGAGAGATTATGAAAGCATTTAAAAATATATTATTTAAAAATTCTTTAATTCCTTTTCACTTATTTATGCTATTTGTTTTCCTATAAAACGTGAGGCCTCAAATATTATTGAAAGGCTAAGAATGTTTAAAACATGGTATATTATAATTTTATTGTGAGTGATGAACCTTAATTTCATATCTAATCACCAATATAGAGTATCATTAAGGTATGATAATTTTTTAGTGTTAGAGCTTGTCAAAATATAAACATCATTTTCATCTTTTAAGTACTTAATTACATCAGTCTGTAACTGGCAAGTATTTTATTGAAGGTGTATATAATTCCATCTTATGTTTGTTGTTAAAAAGTACATCCCTTTTGAGTATTTTGAGAGAAATTCAATTTTATCTTGAGCATGTTTTTCATTATACTCAATTTAATATACAGGTACCCAGCGATTTTCCAACAGTGTGCTGTGGCATGTTGATTTGCTGCAAGAATTTTAAAAACATGCAATACCTGACTACATCAGGAGTATTGACCTCTTTTCCCTTTGATTGTGAAAGAAAAAATACAATAGCCTTCCAGGGTAGATGAATCAGAATCATACCTGGTTTTTGTCAGATATACACAAAATATAACATACTTTTTGTTGTTGCAGAAATTCAATAATTATAATAAGTTTCTTAAAAATATTTTTATTGATTTCAGAGAGGAAGAGAGAGGGGGAGGTATAAACATCAATGATGAGAGAGAATCATTGGTTGGCTGCAACCTGGGCATGTGCCCTGATCAGGAATTGAACGGTGACCTCCTGTTTCATAGGTTGATGCTCAACCACTGAGCCATGTAGGCGGGGTAGAAATTTAGTAATCAGATGTGTGCCATGAGATGAAAAGGTTGAAAATCACTGATATATACCATTAATAATTTTCTCATATATCAAATAGCTATCTATTCCTCATGAATTATCTAATGATGGGGATACAAATACTTTTTGAACTATTTTAGTTTAGGTGGTGTGCTTGAGCATATTTGAATATGAATTAAACAGATTTTAGAAATTTGTAGATCATGATTAAGTCTTAGAATTTATTTTTACCAATTTTACATTTTGGAATCAGGATGTATTTTGGTAGATAGCATGTTGTACTTGTGTGTAAATTTATACACAGTTGTATAATTATATATAAATTATGTATACATTTTTATTATTGCTTTTTATTATTGCTTTTTAGCAGTATTGTAATACATTTGTAGCATTGATGTTATGGAGAAATAAATACTGTATTAAGGCAGATGTTTAACTAATTGAATGCAATAAATTTCTATAAAACTTTTCTTTAAAAAAATTGTTTTTAATTTCAGAGAGGAAGGGAAAGGGAGAGAGAGAGAAACATCAATGATAATATAGAGTCATTAATCAGCTGCCTTCTGCATGCCCCACATTGGGGAGTGAGCCCACATCGCGGGCATGTGCCCTGACCTGGAATCAAACTGTGATCTACCATTGAGCCCTGCTGCCCAGGCTGTAAAACTTTTTCCTTGTTCAAGCTTTTGATTTTAATTATAATGTATCTTTTTATGAGACTTGAAAGAATTTGCTGGAATTGAGATAATGCAGGCTAGTTTATAGCCAAAGATACTTTAATATTTCTGAAATTGAGAAAGTAAATACTTTATAATTCTCAAAACATTTATTTTATATAACATATACTTATATATAATTTATGTACTTACATATGCGTGTGAAAGTTTTACAACAGATTTCACTCTTACTTATCTTCTCTATTTTAAAGCAGTGATAGCTTTTGAGGTCAATATAAAAGATTTAGCCATGCCCTGAATATGTTAGTGGGTATGAATAAATAAGTTTCTATTTAGCCTACAATTAGATGGCATCATTCAAATTTGATAGCTCTAACTTATAAATTATTTCTGAATAATTGCATATATTTAATAAACGAAAAAATATTATAGATTGGCAGTTTAACTTTCATTACTTTGTGTGTATATATATATATATATATTATTGATTTTTTTTTTTTTTTACATAGAGAAATGGAGAGGGATAGAAAGTTAGAATCATTGATGAGAGAGAAACATTAATCAGCTGCCCCCAGGACACCCCCTACTGGGGATGTGCCTGCAACCCAGGTACATGCCCTTAACCAGAACCGAACCCTTCAGTCCGCAGGCCAATGCTCTATTCACTGAGCCAAACTGGTCAGGACTCATTACTTTTCTGGTAGAGCCTTTAAAAAAACATATACGTATTAGACTACCTTTATCTTTTGAATTTTCTATAACTGAGAATTTACTTTATATTTTATAGATTCAGCTTTATGTACTTTTTGAAAGGGAGAATAATAATACCAGTTAGTCATATTATTTAACTTATACATGTAATGTTACGGTCAGTTATTTGAATATACCGTATTCATTTTTTATTTTTAAATTTTTATTGATTTCAGAGAAGAAGGGATTGCGAGAGAGATGGAAACATCAATGATGAGAATCATTGATTTGTTGCCTCCTACAAGTCCCCTACTGGGGATCGAGCCTACAACCCAGTCATGTGCTCAGACCAGGAACTGAACTTGACCTCCTGCTTCTTAGGTTGAAGTTCATCCACTGAGTCACCCTGGGCAGGCAAATATACAATTACTTTAA